AGAGAGAGAGAGAGAGAGAGAGAGAGAGAGAGAGAGAGAGAGAGAGAAAGGAGGGTGAGGAGGAAGAGCAAGATAGCTAGAAAGTCAGACAGAGAAGGGGGGGACAAGATATACTGAAAAGAGAAGGATGTTTATGAGGACGGAGAGTGACTGAAGGATGGTTGGAGAGACGGACGAGAGAGTGTATAAACGATTTATATGACAAGATAAAGCGAGGCTATCTCGAGGGGAAGATGAGATTAGAACATAATAAAATGCTATGAAGGAGTGGAGTGAGACCTAGATATCTATCCTCATTGCAGATAGAAGAAAAGAGGGGAAACACAGCGGGGGGGGGGGCGCATGAGAAGACAGAGACACACAGACAGGCAGAGAGAGTTGCATACCTGGCTGATTAGGACGGCGCTAGAGCCTGATAAAGACATGAATCAGATTTTTTTTCTCACTGTAACGGCTTCGACCGTCTTCACACCGGGAACACGCTCAAACACACACGGACATCAAAGTGGAATAAATACGGTGGTGGGCACAAGGGAAAGGCGTTATGTCAGAGATGGGTTTAATGATTTTAGAACACAGAGAGCTGTCTGGGCTGTGATTGCTGTTCAGTGGTAATGTTTGGACATGAGGCTGTGGACCTCTGCTGCACACTGGCTATACCGGTCAAATCCGAAAACAGAACACTGTTACCACCAATGTATCTGAAGGGAAAACTGTGTATTTTGCAGGAGAAGCAGAGCTGCAATGCAGAGTGTAATGACGTGAGTTCTTCTTTATCGTCTGGTCTGAGGATGTCTTCTTTTTTTGTTGTTTTATTTTCCTTACTGCCAAACGTCCCCGTCTGGGAGCTAAATTTAACTGTTCCCTCCTATTCTGTTTCTGTGATTATTCTTCACACACTGCAACACTGATGGCCTCAACTCCACAGGGAGGGGCCAACGAGGAAGTGTGTCATCCAGCTAGTCGAGTCCTCGAGAGGGCCAATTAATCCTTCAGTCTAGGGACAGAACAGCAGGAGATTTCTACATTAATTTCATCAGGATCTTACTGATACCTTCTTTACAGTTTACGTTCTAATTTTCTTTTGGGAAGACACGTAGGTTAATTAACTCGTTAGTCATGATGAAAAAATAACTTTAAAGGAACAATTATTGATCACAATGTAAACAAAACCCTATCATTGAAAATGTAAATTTAAGATTGGAATGTACCATTTTCAAATTGATTGAGGGGTCTTTTGACACCTGGAATATCACTAGACAAAACACAAATCTGTTATTAATGTTATTAATCCTGCGTTAATTGATTTTGGGGTCACTAGGGGGCAGTGACCCCAATGGTGACTTAACAATTCAATTTATTTATATGACGCCAAATCATAACAAGTTATCTCCATATGACACTTTTCATATAGAGCAGCTCTAGACCGCACTCTATAACATTCCCCACATGAGCAAGTACCTTAAACAGGACGAAACCTTGGGGCGGAACATATCACCCCATAAAGTTAATATGCTGAAAGCATTTGCTTATTTACACACCCAGCAGACACGGAGCAACATTCATTTGGAGTCATGTTTGTGTCCACCTGTTGAATCCAGGGCAAAATTCACTCCAATAGTCACTCTCCTTTTAGTTCTGGTTTGCTCTTCATCAACTCCTGAGGGAAACGCCTGCTCATTGTTTTGGTTGAGAGAAACCAAAACAATGAGCTGAAAGAGGTCAAAACGCTTCATAAAGCTGCAGTTTCGGGTGATCCTTCGCTGTGGGTTCTTCACTATGAGGTGAATTGTATTTTTGTACAGTACAAACAGCTGTTGCAGGCGATGTGGCATCGGTCTTTCATTTAGGCGGAGGCGGAAGCGGCCCGGTTGCATCGGCTCGGCTTCAGGTGAATCGTCTCGCCATCGGTGGCTCATGGGAAGCATCGTCATCTCTCGCCTCAAACTCGGCTCTTCGGGCCTGTCAGAGGTTGGAATTCGCAGAGAGGGAGAATCGTAGGAAGAGAGGTGCTGCTTCTCCCTTCTTAAGGGTGCGGTTATCCACACGAATGACTATGGAAATCAAATCTTCAAGTTTAGAGGGCTCAGGAAATTAGACTAATTAATCCTTAATCGCAGACAAGTTCACATTGAGTTAGAAAAGATTGACCTTAATCCTGGATTTCAATCATAACGTTGCGGTGGAGAGACACATGCTAAGGTGGGCTAGGAATGAAGCTAGCAGGCGGGTTTAGCTGGTCCTGAATCCTGGACACATCCCCGAAGAGCTTGCGGAGGCCGTCCATGAAGTCCTGCAGGGCTTGGCTGTGCTGGCCGAGGAGGGCTCCCTGGCGGATACCGCTTGGTGGACTGTATCCAAGTGGGCTGAGCTTGCTGCCGTTCCCAAAGCAGCTACAGCCCGGTGGGCTTTATCCCAGTCTGCTGGATTCATAGCGGCCGAGTTGTATTGTCACGGTTAAAAGCTGAACTCAAATGCAGACACCGGACAAGCAGGTGAGGGGGAAACAAGTCTTTTATTGACAGATGCAGGCAGAGATGGTGAGTTGTTGGCTGGCTGGAGGGAAACCCGATGCAGTGAGCTGGCTGGTGGGCTTGGCAGACTGGCGAGGGAGGCAAGCAGGCAGGTAATCCATGTATGGCACAATGATCCGGCTGTTGGTGCGGGTGGGGGGGGGGGGGGGGTCTTGTAGGGAAGATGTCATTACTGGATGACTTGCTGATCCCAGATTGCCAGGTGTGCAGAGAGATACAGAGGAAGAGCGAAGGGGAACAACCAGACAGACAAAACACACAAACTTATTCTAAAAAGGCTGCAAAATAACAAAAAACACTCGCACCAGACAGACAGCAGGTGTCAGAGAGGAGGCACCATGAAAGAAAACTGCTTTATGAACAAAAAGTAAAAACACCAATACAAAACTTCGGACATTCATTGCGATTTGTTTCACTGGCATTCATACTGGAGCCTCGTCAGCTCAATAGTTGCAGATATGATCCATCTGATCAATGTTACTATTTGGCGATGATAGTGATGAACCAATAACCCATCTCCCCTCCTCACAGATAAATTATACAAACACAAACTGCCACGCTAACTTCGACAAGCAATTCTGTTGAAGCATAGTGTCCCATTTAGACACATCGTTATGTAGATGTTTAGCAGGTATAATGTTTACCATGATCAATGTTCTAGTTTAGCATGTTGGCATGTTGTTAATCAGCCCATAACACAAAGTCCGTCTGAGGCTGATGGGAATGTCATTAGTTTTTGTAGATATTTGGTCATGAACCAAAGTATTGGACAAACTGAAAGTTTGACCTCATGATTGCACAAGTTACAATTCATAATCTGGGGTCATGAATATCTGGACAAACTTTCATGGCAACTCATCACTTAGTTGTTGAGATATTTCAGTCTGGAACAACAACGTTGCTATTCCTAGAGCCATGACGCTCACATGACCAACAACAACCTGGATAGCAGGAAAAAAAACAACTCAAAATTCTACTGCATACCTTTGAAATGGTTGGTAGTAATGTTGAATACATATGATTTGTAATATATGGATATAACATGCAAAACACAATTTGCTAATGCTAAAATCAAATTCCTCTGGCTTTATTTGCAGGACGGAGATTCTGCACAAGAGCAGAATATATTATTCAGAAGACTGAAACACCAGAAGAAGAAAAAAAAAACTGCCAGCTCCAGTGATTTGGAAATCCAGTAGCCAAATATCCAATTTCAAAAATGTTCGATTAAAGGTGCGGTCGTAATTCAATGTCAGCAAGTTACACATGCAGAGAGCTCTCTGATACACAACGCAATAAATCACTCTGTGGTTACATCAATATCAAAGTCGAGTTCAGGCGTACCGTGTTTCAAATTGATCAATCACGAGACTCAGCGAGGACCCGAGAAGAGCGCACACGGGACGACGGCAATCACAAAGTGAAGCAGGGGAAGGAACGAGAGAACCAAAAGCGTTTTTTGAAGAGGGGGGTTGAAGGAGGAAGACAAAGGAAAACAGAGAGAGAGGAGCGGCGACAAAACGATGGAAACGCTGCTAAAAGATGATGATGGAGGGAGACGGGAGGAGAAGGAGTTTCAGACAGGGAGAAGAAGAAGAAGCTGACTGTGTCGAGTCATTTGTACTTACTCAGTTAATGTGGAGGTGATGCTGCTGCTGCCGGTCCCCCCCCCTCGCTCTCTATACACTACATGCTGTAAAATGCAGACAGACTGTACTGTGTCCCGTCCCCAAACCAGGGACGACCTGCACTGAAGCAGGCAACACCTTCCTTCCTATTCTTACCCCACCTCATCCCATCAAAACACACACACACACGCACACACACACACACACACACACACAACAACAAAGAAACAAAGCTTTTTGCGCCACTTCATCAAACCACCTCTCTAAATTTGCACCCCATCCTTGGCTATCAAAGGTCCAATTCAACACGCGCACGTAGACAGGAAACAGAGAAGGCACAGTTCAAGATCTCTCCTCCTGCTCCGACCCCTCGTGTCCTACATGCAACACATACATCCACACTTATGGCAGCATACTGCTTATTGTATCCTGCTGCAGAAATGAGTCATACTCCACTGCTCCTTCCATAGACACCCCACCCCTATCACAGACGAGAAACTATCTGCTCTGTTTGGGAAATCGGCTCCTTCGGCATGAAACAATTTATCATATCACCTTTTTTTTTGGGGGGGGGGGGGGGGGGATGTTGTGCATGCAGAGAGGGAGAAGGTGTAATGATTAAAAAGACACTAAAAGGTGCTCGTGTGAACAATGAACCCACACATCACTTCGCCTAAGGCCTTCAAAATGAGCATCGTGAATAATTTAAGCCGTGCAATATTCTCAGGGAATCTGGAGATTGTCATTAAGCCCCCCCCTGATCAGGATAACTAATGTCCCTGCCTGAAGAAGATGTCTGCGCATCCCTTTTTCCCCCCACTTCTTCTCACTGACGCCTCTCAGTTACCCTGGCTCCACAGTCCCTCACGCTAATGGTGAGACGGAGGTATTTTTCATCATGTTTGCGGTGACTGGTTCTGTGGAGAGAGGGGCATCATGCCTCTAGCCCTCACAACCGTATGAGTGAATTTTAATGGGGAACTTTAAGTTAATGAATTTTTTTTTATAATGAAGCGTTTAAACTACTGCATTTTGAGTTGAGCTGCAACAAAAATAATAATTAGATAGTTTCGAGTCATTTTTGCCAGATATGTGCTCAAATATGAGGATGTTGATTCCTGTTTGTATCGCATATGATAGTAAATCAAATATTTTGGGGTTTGTTTGGAGTGTTGGTCACATAAAACAAGCAATCCTAGGATGTCACGTTGGGCTCTGTGAAGTTGTGATGGCTGTTTTCCACTACTTGTATCCACTACACAGCATTTTATAGACTAAACAATTAATCAACAGAATAATCTGCAGATTAATTGATGAAAATAATAATAATGGAAATAATTGTTGAAGTGGACAAACATTAAACACACTGTTTAAATGTTATTTTACTAATTGACTAATGTATTTAATATGCATCAGATTTGAATGTTAAATACAGTAGGCTTGCTTAATGTTTTTCCTTTGTTTACCAGAGATGTTGTCTTTTTTTAAAACAAAAAGTGTACACATCAAATATAAATACAGCAGTTGATATTAGTGCAACTAAAAATTCCCTTAATTTGATCGGTCACTAACCGAAAAAACAAGCAATAAGATAATCTCACATTCCCTGGGAACTATTTTCTGTTGTTTTATAGACAATTAAGGGTCAATTGCTAATAATGTAGCTGTCTTAGCTGTGACAGTTACACTGTTGTAGTGTAATTATCTAATGTTTGCATTAGCTAATGTTAGCTTTGATCAGCTACTTCTCATTCCAGACCAAGTAAGAGCGAAGTAGCAAAACATCTGAGCGTGCTGACTTGAGCGTTACTGCTTATGATATTACCTTTTTATAAAAACTTTATTACAATTGTCACATATATACAGGTACATGACATTTGACCCCTGCATTTGACCCATCCTAAGTATTTGGGAGCAGTGGGCTGCTGTAAAGTATCCGGGGAGCAACTTGGTTGTTTAGTGTCTCGCTCAAGGACACTTCAACGCACTGACAGTAGGACTATGGGATCAAACCGCCAACCTTGTGGTTAAAGGACGTAACGTTCTGTCCACTGAGCCACACAGGAGGATTGCACTATTTCTGCTTTCACACCTTACACTCTCACTTTAAAAAGATTAATAATCGACTATCAAAAGTATGAATTTTGTTTCAGCGCTATACGTTATTTTATTGAAGAGGTATTTCAACTTCTTTCTTATCAACAACATGTTTTGATCTTTAGTTTAGGATTTAGTTGATTAAATTCACACAAAAGCTGGCTTAAACATTCAAATTAACAATTATTTTCATTATCTATTAATATGTTGATTACTTTCTCTAATAATCCAAACATTTCTTGGCCTATAAAAAGTAGTAAAACCCTTTTCTAAAGTCCAAGATGACGTTAAATCACTTGTTTTGTGTAACCAACAGTCTGCAAATCCTCTCAAAACTGACTGTTTGGTATTTTTACTTGAAAAATGACTTTAAATGATTAATTCATTATCAAAAGAGCTGTAGATTTATTTTCTGTCTATCATCTAATCACTTAATCAACTACCTCATGCTGTCAGTGTTGCTGTGTGGTGTGTGTGTGTTTTAATGAACTTCTAGGTGGGCCAAAGAATGTTTCCACCGTGGTGAACTTTTCTACTCTAATCGTTTCAGCTCTAAATTAATAAATCAGGACTAAATCAATACTCGAGATGGTGTAAAAGCCTGCAGAAATATAAATAATCTGTCAGTTTCTGTCATCAGTACATCAGGCTCCTTTTTGAGGAGTGATATTTGAATCCTTCCCAACTCCTGACTTTCCCTCTTTGATGCCTCCAGGCTCATGAACTTCGGGGATCTAGCAGCTGATGAGCTCTGCATGCACAGGATCAAGTTCTCCCCTCTGCTGGACTCTCTGGGAAACAACAACTACCTCTGCTTTACAACGACACCCAAAATCAATAAATCGAATACATCTTGAGAAACAAACACGAGGAGTAAATCAGTCTCGATCAAATCGGCTGATCCAGATGAGACCGTAAGACTCACATCAGCCCTCCAGTCACATCATGAGGCCCAGAAATCAAGTTTTGTCTTAAATAACAGCAAATCTCCATCAGAGTCTTCCACACGTGCTTGACCTGGAAACATTAATTAAGAAAACTGGGCTGTGTTGGGATTTTGTAACTCACTGCCATTTTTTCACGCATTGTGCTGCTCTCTGCTGGTCAGAACAACAACTGAACCTGGGGAGGATGAAGCAGCTCTGAGGATGAAGATGCAGAGCACATGTTTTGGATGTATAAGGATAATAAATGCAGAACTACAAATGTACCCCACCAACAGCTTAAACCTGAGACGAGTAGAGGTGCTGCATGCCTGCACCAAAAGGCAACAAAACAATGCAGAGACACCTGTTCTGTTGAAAAATCATCTTCAACTTACAGGTTTATTCAGACTTAAGAACACAACATGGCCCACATTTTCCATAGAAGCTGCAGTACTTCCCTCCCACTGACAATCAGTGAGATAATCGGCCTGTGACTGTGATGTACCAGCTCATGATGTAGCCTACATTGCATGCATAAATAAAGGAAGAAAGGAAGCCAACAAATGCCTCCGGGAGCTTTTTTTTTTCCCCTTACCTGCCGTTTGATGAAGCTGGATGTCGTGTCAGAAGATGTGCTGCCATCTGAGCGTTTGAAGCGGCTCTTGCGTTTAGGCAACTTCCTGGGCAGCTGTGATGAAAGAGACGCACACCAGTGAGGGAATAAATAAAGATAGATAGACAGTTAGCAGGAAACCAGCTTACACTGTGCTGTTTTTTTTAGGCTTTTTCTTAAAAAAGAACAAAATAAAAGCGTGTATAGGGACTGGTGCAAAAGAGCTCCTGTGCACCAGTCTATATATAACAGCTGTGGCTTTGCCAATATCAAATGTATTTCAGGACCTAATTAATCCAGCTGCACATTCTGATTCTGGTCTGTGTAAAGCAAGAGACATATTTTTCCCCGGGGCCTCTTGTAACACAGTCCATTAATAACAAAGCATGGATGTTGCAGCATGCTGACAGGGCCCTGTAGATTCAGGCTACAGGTGAGTCAGAGTCATAGTGTGCCAGTATCTTTACGCCAATAAAAGTCAGGGTATATTCAAGTTACTGATGTGTGCTGATTTACCTACATTCGTGTAAGGAAATGCATTGAAATGAATAATAAAAATCCATAAAAAATAAATCCCTGAACAGACACGAGCAGCAAACGTATCAACACGTAAAGGGATATTTATCCCGTGTGTGTGTGAGAGACATAATAACCATAATGCGAGTCTACTTAATGATCGCACCGACTGGCTCTTCACCGATCAAGCATCAATCTGCAGTTTCAGTGAAGGCGGAGGTGAAAAAAAAAGTAGCTCGCTGCCAAATCGCGACGCCTCAATTTCAACAACAAGTAGCAAGACATCAGCTAACCTTTTTTTTCTTTTCTTTCTCTGTCCTCATTGTGAATAAAGGAATGAAAAGGTGTGGTGGTTTACCTGAAAATAGTGCGACTGAGAGCCTGTTTCCACAGCAGACAGTGGGTCTACGGGCGATTTGGACATTTTGACTTGCACCATCTATTGAGAGCGCAGGGAGGCGGGCTGCACACAGACATGGGTTACTGGAGGAGACCAGGGACACGAAATACATCTAAAATGCAGTAAAAGACAGCGGGGGAAGCGGCATGTAGGAGCGGAAAACACGGAGGGGAGGGAAGGAAACAAAAGGCGATTAATATCCGAGCTCAGATTATATGAAAAGCTGGTCAGGGTTAAAAAAAGAAAAGAAATAAAACGTGTGTTATAAGCTACATCGGAGGGGTGGAATGTAAAGCGTGCAGGAAAAATGCCGGAGCAAAAATAAACCGTGAGGACTGAAGCGTCATCGCTCGACCAAGCGAACAGGTCCGTACTAAGTGTGTGTTTCTGCCGGGGGTGTCGAGATTGGCTTAAAAAAAATCAATTCACATGATGATTCATGATATACAATTTTAATCTTTCTTTATTTTAGAGTTGTGTTGGTTTGTGTTCAACACTGTGTTCCCTCTCGTCTGTGTTTTTTAAAGGGGGATGCAAACAGTAAACCTCAGTGGAATCTTCAGAGAGTGGATCTTTGAATTCATAATACAGGGGAGATTTTTGGGTAACACAGATATTACACGTGATAAAAAGTAAAAATATAGAAAAACACTATTCTTTTAACATTGAAGATATGGTTTGTAACAAAGTGTTCAGATCTCTTATAGGCAAAGTAATACCCCAGTGTATAAATACTCTGCAACAGGTAAGAATCCTGCATGTAATCCGAAATAAGTACTTAAAGTGTTAAAAGTAAAAGTACTTGATGCAGAAAAATCCCCCACTGTGACTGTTACACTATTATACATTAAATAATTAGATTATTACTCATGCATGACTGTAAACGCAGGGTTTTAATGTTGTACTGTTGACTGCCACACATTTTCATTATTGTATTCATCTGCTGATTTATTTCTAGATTAATTAATTAATTGACTGTTTGATATGTAAATACACTTAAAAATAGGGAGAAATGTCCATCACAGGTTCTAATGGGCCAAAGTGACAGTAATCTTGTTTTTAAAAAAGTGCATTACGACTCAATAACAAAATATACATAATGGTTAGGTAAAATGGTTAATTTCAGAAAAATATATATCATATTACAAGGGATTCATTATGCGTAAGTACCACTAATATTGCAGCTGGTAAAGATGGGGCTAATTTGCTGATCACATTTGCTGCATGTAAGTGATGGAAAGTACCCAAATACACAAAGTAATGTATAGGTGTGGAGGAAGGGTAAACACAATGGTGGAAAGGGATTTACCCAAGTACTGTACGAGTTTTAGATACTTGTACTTTACTTAAGCATATCCAATTTATTATTTTTTATCCTTCTACTCTGACATTCTTACTTGGGTGCATTTACTTAACTGCTATAGTTACTAGTTTAATTGATTTGTACATAAAACATGATTATCAACTTCTTAATTATGATGCATTGTGTTAGATTAAAGACCCCACATATCCACACAGTTTTTTTTCTTTAGTTATGGTAAGTAGGTGTGCGAAGTTATGCTGGTATTAACGTGCGGTCATCATTTACTTATAAGAAAGATAAAGTTATAAGTTGTTGTGCACCCAAAACTGACAGGAGAGCCCATGAAGTCCCTAGAAATATCTGGTTGCACATGACAATAACGTGTGTGTCATTATCTTGTTTGAGTATAATAAAAAAAAAAGGATGCATCATCATTCGAGACCTTGAAGGCATAATTTAACACTGTGAAAGAGGCCATTTTGCATAGTGAATACATTTACTGTTGATCATTTTAAAGCTACTACAAGGAACTTTCATTTTGTGTTGATTTTGGCGGCCCCTGTGGACGAAAGTGGCAGTGTTGTAGAGCGCCAGATACACTTTAGAAAAAAGTGCAGGTTGAAGGAGTCCGCAAACACCTGATCTGGGTCTTTCAACAGTGGGCTGGTCACTGAAGGACTTTAAGGTGAAGCTGCATGAGTTCTTCTGATTTTGCACGGAATCCAACCCAGTGGCACCGATGACAAGCATTAACAATAATTATATTAAAATAGCAAGTCTTCCCGCTGATGGTCTTGTTTACTTATGTAGGTCAAATAGAGGCATCAGTATTAAATTGAAACTTTTTCATAACCAGTTAAATGTTCCTCACAATATCTTTAAGTACATTTTGCTGGTAATATTTCTCCATGTTTGCACTGTGGTGTTGCTACTTTTAATAAAGTATGAGTTCTTCCAGCTGTATGTCAGCCTCACAAGGTTTTAGACACTATTGAGTAAATAAAAATGAAGGTGTAAGCTGACTTTTCCTCCTCCACATCACTGTTTTTTTTCCACTTCTGGGAGACTCATGCTGGAGATCATAGCTGGTGGTTTTTGACCGGCTGGGCTCGCTACAGACACGGCTTCACCCCTAGAGGGAGTGCCGAGTTACTAAAAGTGGGAAGAGAGTGGCGTGAGCCACGGCGCGCCTGGGCTGAGGAGAGCTGCGTCAAGCGTCAACCCAGCATCAGTTAAACAGCATTACAACGGGCCTAAGTGCAAAGTTTATTTCAGAATAAAAGCTGAAAAAATAAAGGTGAACTCAGAATCCACTTTATTGGCCAAATATGTGCACACATATAAGAACATTGACTCTCAATGCACTTCAACACAGTTCCAAGAACAATTTACAGGAAGATAGATTGAAATAGACTGTTCTCTTTCCAGGTGGAGAGGAGGGTGTGTGGCTCAGGCTCTAGCTTTTTGGCGAAGCTGCTTGACATCCTCCTGCCATCTTTTTGTCATATGGATTGTCATATGGATTGTCTGGACAGTATATTGTAATTTCATTGTCTTGGTCTATTCTGTTCACACATCTGTGTGTCCTGGGTGAGGGATCCCTCCTCATTTGCTCTTCCTCAGGTTTCTAACATATTTTCGCTTTAAAAGAGTTTTTCCTGATCAAGCGTGCATTGAAAAGGACAGGGTGGCGTATGCTGTACAATTGTGATATTGGGTTATATTAAATAAAATTGACTTGACCAGAGCTGAAACAAAAGCTAAGATACAAATATAGAACACTAGAAATACATAGATCAATATGAATATAAACATCAACAATGAACAACATGTCTTATCTATGATTGAGAGATAAAGACAAAAACATGTATCATATTAACCATAAACCAGTGTCCCATATGTTAAAACAAATAAACTTTTCTGAGAACAGAATTGTTAAGATGTATTGCCAATAGACTGGTATTTGGATGAATACCTGTCTATGGATACCTTAAGTGTTGAAATTAGATAAATGCGTTATGAAATAAACAGGCAATATGTATTATACAACCATACAATCTTCTTTTATTACAAAATATATATTTTTTGTGCTAAGCTAACCCGCTGCTGGCTATATCCCTTGTATTTAATGGACAGACATCAAAATATTGATCTTTTCATTTCGGGTTTTAACTTGAAAAACAATAACCGGAAGCGTGATGTCTGTATTGTCCCCGTCTTGACAGTGGTGCTTGGAGCCGAGAGGGTCAGGGGGAGGAGAGGAAAGGGAGTGGAGCGCGAGAAGACGACAGGAGGGAGATCCAGCACAGGGTGACCAATTTAACCGGACCATCCTTTGGACAGACAGGCTACAAATGGTCCTCCACTCCGGCCGCTCCGACCGACCACCACGCCGAACCGGAGGATTGTCTGCTGCGGTCCTGCCGGGGAATAGAAAACAGAAGATGATCACGGTGAGTCCGTCTTTCTGACAGTAACTGCTGCTGCTGCACACTGCAGGCCGACATATAGTGTGTATGTATATATATATATATATAAAATATATGTTCTCCTGTCACACAAACGTCCCAAACGCTGTTGCACTGAACCGCAGACGCCTCGGACACCTCTCTGTCTGTGCACCGTGTCTGCAGGAGTGAATGACATAGCTGGCAACAGTTGCTGTAAGGCCTCACACACGGGTAGCGGTGGTGGTGGAGGATACACGGTCAGTTAATGTTCCCCACTGGCGGCCAATAGCAACATATCTGTGTGATGAGCTGCATCATTGTTTCTTATTACAGCTGACAGTTCTGATGGAGTGTTAATAAGCTACATTCAGAAGCTGGAGCCTCGTGCAGGTCGCATCTGATGCTCATAATGATTCACATCAGATCATTTTTCACAACATAACTTTAAACTTAAACACCTCCATGTATCCTCTACTCACACCAACACATGGGGTTTGTAAATAACAGTTTTCAGAGTATTATTCACAGCTATAGTCCCCTTCCATCAACTGACTGATGCTGAGGAATGTGCAGCAGCAATAACGTCTTTATATCCGTTTATTTACCGAGGACTCGTGTTTGTCAATACACTTACCCTGAGAGCTGCTGCTTTGCTGCAGACTGAAGGACATTTGCACAAATGCAAATCGCTGACGGAGGCGTGTGTGTGTGTCCGAACATGGTCCACCGGACACAGCGGAATGTTTTTTATGGTCCCCGTTATGGTTGTCACATAGGCCATGGTGTTATGTAACAAGAAGCCTACGCTGTTTGAATGCGGGCCCTCACACACCGCCTGCTCGTGCATGGCATTTAGACGCTGGATTCGGAAACATGATTATGGAAATAAAAAAAGATTGCACACCACTAATTAGTTGATCTATTTTTGCATCGAGATGACAACTGAGCCACCATCACACACACTCAGAGAGATATGCATGCAGCGTCGGACTTGTCTAAACTGGAACAAGCCCACAAGGATTGACTTTATGCTCGCTGTTTGTGACTGTAACGCCAGTGTCCGGTTGAAAATGTCCCCTAGGAATAGTCAGCCTTCCCTTCTCCGCTTCCCCTCCCTCCTCTCTCCTAACGCTAGTGGGGGGAAACCGGAGAGTACAGCCAAGCACCATGCAAACACGCACGCACACACACGCACACACACACACACACACACAACAAGCGACTGGCAGCACCGCGACGTTTGCAAATGGGTACAAGCTGGTCGACCTTGTGCAGGGGGGGGGGACGCAGCCGGGGAGGTGGAGGGAAGGAGGTGTTGGTGGAGGTGGGAGGAGAGAAGAGTGTGTGTGTGTGTGTGAGAGAGAGAAGGGGGTGGTGGTGGGGGGGGCGGTTCTCCTTGAATCTTGTCGATCCGCTGCCAGGGAGGAGGGACACGGCTTGGACGGATACGTGCCAGAGAAGGCGCATGCAGGCAAGATATGGCGAGGAAATGCTATTTTTGCTTCAACAACACAGCGTGCCGCTCCGGTGGAAAATGCCGATCGATGAGGCGGCGGTAGCGGCGGTAGCGGCAGCAGACGCGGCGGCTGCGTTGCGTGTCTCTCTGCACTGTGTGCAGCTCCGGGTGTCTGGAGGCCTGGTTAGATCAGCTGGTAGCAGTTGCTGAGGCATATGTGGACGTTTAATTCAATCAGGACGAAGACGAGCACACTACTGTACTATTATGACATTAACTATAAAGATACTGGCGGGTTATTATAGTAAGATTAGAGACATACTATACAATGGGACCAGGTCAGGATAAACCTACAATTTTAATGTCTAAGAAATGCACACTTTTTCTGTCGACACTACAACCAATACCACGATGTAGCTTCATAAATGGGATGCACCATTTTACTTTTTCTCTCCCTATACAATACCTCAACTCAAGTTTATCCAATACCAGAACTCTATTTTCCCCAAATATGCTACGTGTATACCTCGCTGTGTGAAAACTCATTAGGGTTCTCTGGTTAGGTAACGTGAAGCATGCATTGCTGTGGCACTAAAAATGCAGTCACCGGCTCACCATGACTGAATAAATGTAACTGACGATAGAAATGCTGAAGAACTTTATTTAATGTAGATGTGTATCCTCTGGTCGATACGCAGTCCTCTTAAAAAGGGCCTTAGTGGTTTAGTGCATCCTAAATGAATGTCACACACTCAAAGACGCACACTGGTTTACAAGAGACTACTTACTTTATACACTGGAAGAGATTAACTAATATCCATAAGATATATCAGATATACACGTTCATACATCGGTACAAAAGCAAGTCAAACACTGTGTATTTAAACCGTCTACAGTATCCGACATGTCAAACAAACATTTTTTTAGGTAAAGCTTAATAAAGACAACAACAGTAGAATATAAAACACGATTAATTCACAGGCGACACTTTCTCTGGTGCTCAAAGGACATCATATTGATTTCATCTAGCAACAACACACTGATACAATAACATGTATCTCTGTGCTATACGCGTTATACAATGCTTAAAGGGAAGTAGCTTGAGTTTCTAGTCATTTCTAAACAACTTTGGGTTTAACGCCGCAGGGCCCACAGATCCTGTCATGCTGTGTTTCCCATTGCTGTCTTGATATTTGTCTTGACAGTATCCTGTTGTCCAGTGGCATTTATCTGTATTTATTACTTTTATCACCGATTGGGATAATAAACAGAGCTTGAAGGAGTCGCTCTTTATCTTCAGCCCAACTGACTCCAAAACACTGTCGTGTGTTTACATCAGAGGGTTTATTTTAGTACGGGGATCAAATCAAGCAAGTTCTGGTTCACCTTGAAAAACCCAGGCCATTAAGCTATTTTGGATCCTGTCCTCTCCCTCTCCCCCGTCCTCCCCCATAGTTTTGGAAGTAGCTTGATCTATGAATCTCTGTTTTTATGAGACACAATCACAAGTGTGTCCGGTTGTCCAGGAAATGGGATTCATTGTGCATTTAGCCGACAGTTATGCTTTTTATTTCCTTTCAGATTTGGGACGAAGAAGATCTTTGCTGAGAAGCTATTGAGAGAGCTAAACGGTGTCCGGCCTGTTCATTAATATGGGTATTAGCATCAAACGACAGACTGGACATTACTATCATGATCTGATGTTTCTCACCTGATGTACTCACTGCCTAAATTTGAGCCACGACACCATCACAAATATCTATTTGTGCATCGTTTTAATACAATCTACTGTATGTGTTTGGTTTTTCCTCTAGGCCCAGCGGAAGCCATGGAGATAGGGCTGGGAGCAGAGACTGGTCGTCTCATTAACCTTGGTCTCTGAGTGCTGTTCCTGGCACAAAAATCTGGGGCTTCGTGAAGCGACTGTTGCGCTTTTTGACCCCATCTAGTCAGTTCCACCCTGTGGCCCTGCAGTGTGGCCTCTACAAACCCCTCCTCACTACTTAAAAAATTTGTCCGCGGGGATAAATGAGTGAACCGGCTGCAAGGGAAAGGGCTGGGACATGTACCAGAACCCCAACAGGTAAATTAACTTCTACAGGTGGCTAGAGGAGGTAATGTTCCTGCCACATGGTATCAGTGCTGTAGCTGTTATCTGTCTTTGACCTGTTCCTGTACTGAACATTCTCTCTGCTCACCTAGAATGTCCTGGTTCAGTGGTTTCCTAGTCGCCAGGGTGGACGACCGCAAGACTGCGTGGGGGGAGCGCAATGGCAAGAAGTCCAAACGGAAGGGAGGGTCATCTCTCTGCAACCCGCGTTACATGAGCTGTCTGCGGGACCCAGATGCTATGGAGCCCCCTTCTGGAGCCCCCTTCCATCAGCACCACCGCGGAGGGGGGGCTGGGGCCATGGGAGGTGGGGGCAACTTCGGCGTCCGTTGCGGATGGCAGGAGGACCACTACGGCAAAAGGGGAGGGGCTCCCGGGGAAGGGGTGGGGCTGAAATCGGTCGACTTGGGCTTTGAGGATGGCGAGTTGAAAGGGAGGAAAGGGGGGTGTAACGGAGGAAGCGGGGACATGGGCGATGACGGTCCCAACGGCGCAGCAGGGGTGGTGACGGCTGCGGACTGCTGGCTCAGGGTGGTGCAGGTGTTCCAGTCTAAAAAATTCCAGTCCCGCAAACTGGAGCGCCTATACCAGCGTTACTTCTTCAGACTGAACCAGAGCTCCTTGACCATGCTCATGGGGGTACTTGTGATCGTGTGCGGCATCATGCTGACCTTCCACTGTGTCCACGCCGCCCCTCACGTGGCCTACTCGTCAGCCCTGTCGGTGGCGATGGCGCTCTTCATGGCTCTTATGGTGGTGTGCAACCGCAACGGCTTCCACCAGGACTACATGTGGATGGTCAGTTACCTGGTGATCGGAGTCTTGCTGTCCGTGCAGGTGTTCGGGGTGCTCATGGTGGCACCCAGGAGCGCCTCGGAGGGCATCTGGTGGTCCGTGTTCTTCATCTACATCATCTACACTCTGCTGCCTGTGAGGATGAGAGCGGCTGTGCTGAGTGGAGCCTTGCTGTCCATCATACACGTGGTCACAACATGGCAGCTCAATCAGGAAGACCAGTTCCTCTGGAAACAGGTGAGAGAGGCTTGACGTATGACTGTTTGACTGTTAACTGGGTGACCTGAACTGACACTGATGGTGATGGGAGGAAACTACTGTCACTATTTCCCTTTTATGTTGTCTTGCAGATAAAATATATCAGCATTTCATCCTACAATTTTTCATGAATGAAGTTCAGTATACTCTGCTCATGTTATATGTTTCACCTCCTCTAACTCAAAGACCCTTCGGTTGATCCATCTGCACAAATGCATGTTGTGTAGCGAAGCGTTGTTCAAAACTTTATTTTTAAAGTCCCAGTGAAGCGGAAGTCAGACTGTGACGTATTCTTCAGTGAAACTTAATATTTTAGTGGTGTAGAGTTACAAAAGGGATTTAAATGTTATCTCTCGCATTTGATTGGGCAGGTAAAAAATAGGCGGGCTTAGAGTGTAAGCAAAAATACCAAACATTGCTCACTGTAAGCATCTCAGTTGTGAGGATTTGCTGCTGGATCAAACAAAACAAGAGATTTGAAGACCTTACGTTGGGCTTCATTAAATTGTGACGGGCATTTTTCATTCTACAGATCAAACTATTTAATTAAATGTGAAAATAATCATTAAACAAAAATAAGAAATTGTTGTTAGGTGCAGGCCTAAAAATGTTTAATCCAAATTTGCAGCTATTTTAAGTGGAAAATTGGAAAGTATTTGATAAGCAGTGTTGGGGAGTAACCTCTTACATGTAACACCGTTGTGTAATTTAACTACAAAATAACTGTAGTTGTTATCTGTAACAGTTACTGAGAAAGAAGTACTAATCAAAATGTTGGTGTTTACAAAGAGGTTACATCAATTTATATATTATTTTTGGTAAAAAGCTTTTATGTAGATTATGACATTCATTCTGTTGCTTTGCAGCCTTCTGATTCTGCAAAAACATTTGATGATACTGAATAGTGTGAAAAAGTATTTCAACATCAAACCTGAGGAAACATCTACCTTAATGCCTAATTTTAACCGGGTATCTAGTAATCTGTAACCTATTACATTTTAACAAGTAACTTTCCCAACATTGTTGATAAGTAATTAAATACACAAGCAAACAGAAAATTGTGATACCTCATCACTGTAGACTGATTGAACTGGACACATTGTTATGTTGCTTCATGTCTGGGGGCATTCAAAGTGTCTCCTCCGTCACAATGTTTACGATATGGCGGTTTCATTCTGACTGAACTGGCCACACAAGCGGACGCAGTGCCACCGTGTTGTATTTACATGTATTCTGCGGCTCGTGGGTCTTTCTGTACAGTGTGTTGTTTGTGCGTCATGTCAAGGACCTGGTGGCTCGCTGAAGGTCAGCGGGCTGAATGGACCGCCCCGGCCGGACAGCTGTGTGTGAGTGCGTGTGTGAGTGTGTGTGGGTGTGAGTGTGCTGTTGTGTGACAGTGTGAGAATAACATGATGTAAAGCGATATCATTCAGGTCTCTGTGCTCTCACACAAGGGACGCTTTGTACTTTTCTCCAAGGGTTGGGTGACGATGGTGAGGCCGACTGGTGGGTTGGGGGGGGGGGGCACGCAGTATGGTGGTGGCTCGCTTTCTGTTGAGCTCTAACCATTTTCTCCTTGGGGAAAAGTTATGGAAAACATAATGGGAAAGCCATTACATGAAAACAATAGGGGGATATAGGACCTAATGACGAAACACTGGTTATCACCATAATGTCTCTGCCATAACAGTAAGGTATGCATTCAGTAACATATCCTCTCATGTGTTAGCGGGACAACAACAACCGAAAGACCGATCACTTTGTTAAGATATTGTTTATTATACATTTATTTAAAAAGTACAGCACTAGGTTAGGGGTTCGTGGGAACTCAGTAACTGCTGTGTACTCTCACATCATGCATGATATACCATATATCCCTCACACGCTGCAACGTTGTTTGCCGTCATTAAGTGAATGAATGTCGTGAGATAGCTGCAGCCCTGCAATGCTGTTTATTCCAGAGGTCGCCTGTGTACTATACGTGACAGTAAAACTCTATCATCAATCACTGCTTCACGCTTGTGTGCAAGTATTTCCTCTTTCTCCGATAACTCATTAACCTCACCGGGTTTCTGTTGGTGGTGATGAGAAGAGATAATGATGAAGTTGTGTATTGAGGAGTGATGTAAATGCAGATCCTCTTTTCTGTCTTTTCGTTGCCAACTTCTGTTTGCTGGCAACGCAGATTTTAAACAGGGGATTGAAAGGGAGTCGGTACAGTTGAGTTGGGTTTCTCCTCAGTCATAAGTGCAAGTTGATTTCTGAAAGTACGAGTAGCTGATTGATCTATCATCCATGAAGTAAATTAAATAGGTCTTATTTGTATATCAGACTGTAGTTTCACTGAGTTAAATCAGTGACCAGCTGGGGCTGGTCTTTGAATGCCGTTTCCCAAAAAATACACTATTCTTGGGATTTATTTTAAACTAATAGTTCATGTAAAAGCAGATATGAGGGACCAGGATTTGGTCACATTACATGAGAGGTTATCCGTTAGTGGGGGTATCACTTGTAAAAAGGTGATCGCGTACATTCGCTTATGTCGCCCATTTGACCTCAATCAAATCTGATCAAAGCACGCTCGTGAACTGACATTTTGTGTATAATATAGTGCTCCAAATCAGTGACATGGAAGACCACAATAAAAGTCTTGACAGAATGGCTCTACAGGCCATTAATTTATTTATGACCATGAAGTCTTACTCAATAAAACACAAAAGCAGACCAACCAATTCAAGACATCCGCAAAGAATATAAGCTGAAAACAGAACAGTAGTAAAAACATGTTTGACGTCCGTCTTTCCAAATCTTGATACCTCAGTAACGTCTGGCGGGAATGTCTTCAGATTTTGCACAAACGGATAAAATGATGAAGTGATGAAATCGTTGGACAGATGTCTACTGCAACTTGACTGTTTGGGGGACTCGCACACAACCGCGAGGCTGCAATTGTAGTTATTCAAGTCATGTAAGACCAGAGTAAACTGAGGCTCTCGCGCACATCTCAATGGTGTCTGTCTGCCTCATAAGTATTTAATGTTCATCTCTTGAAAGTCACGGCCTTTAATCCCTTCAAACCTTTCAAAACACATGCAGTCTGGTTGTTTCCTGAGCTCTATTTCTCTTGGCGTAGTTTGGCATGTGTGTGTTTTTACAGCTGCATACGGCAGAATCCAGTGTCTGTTCTTAGCTTCACTCTGAGCGCCTTATTGTACACGCTCACAAATTAAACTACAGTATATAAGAGAGTTTAAACCACCTTGTTTTACGCAGGACTGATTTCAAAACAAACGCCAATCTATCGGAGCTTTAACATGGAGACGACCTGTAACACGGGAGTTTCACTCTGCTGTTACTCCATGTTTCTTTTTTGTGTCGACATGTCTGTGATCCTCAGACCCCTCGGCTGAAATAAATTAGCCCTAGCAGTACATACACATGTGCATGTCCCACCCATCATCACACACACACACACACACACACACACACACACACACATCCCCTCCTTTGTAATGGTTGTCACCTTCCCCTCAAGTCTCTATTGATGTTTGTCAGAATTGCAGCAGTTTGTTATTCTTTGAGAAGTAACATCACAAAGCTATTGTCCTGCCTGAATGTGTGGGTGTCTGTTTGAATGTGAAGACTGACATGTGCGGTACAGTGGGTGCTTGTGTGCAGGATTAGAGACACTTTTAATACACGCCACTCTGCTGCTTTTCATGCACACTGATCACTGCCGATATGTCTGTCAATGAAGCTCCTCCTGATTGTACATTGTTCACCCCGGCGTTATTTGCTTTATTGTCCCTGACAACAAGCATTGTTGTGTGGATGCTGTTGACATACGTGCTGTGGGAGGTCAAATACTGGTTCCTAAAAATACCCAGCCCTTGGCGATTCTGCTAACTGTTGCATCACATGGGACAGTCTTATCAGAGCCTGCGTCAGAGCAACAGGCAGGTCACTCTCACCCCCTTTTCTCTGCATACACATGGGTCTGCGGTTTTCACATACCCTGAAGGCTAATGCTGTATATTCACAGATACGACTATGATTTATTTATCTTTTTCTGCTGCACGCTAATGAAGCGTAAGCTAATGCATTTTGGGACGGATCTTTGATCTTTAAGCACAGCAGAGATGGTGGGTAAAGCCCCTAAAAACCCGTAAGAGAGCACAGAGGGCAAATCAGGCTCTACGTGAACTCTGGCTCAGGGGACAGTCAATCTGTTTCACAACTCTCCCGCTAAGTGTTTAAAATTTGTTTGTTTTTCATTCAGTAGATAAGATAAGGGAATAGCGTTTAAATAACAATGTGCCGCTTATGTAGTAATGCGCTCAGTCCACTACGGTCAAACTTTCCAAATGGCTGTTTACTCAATTCTAAAAATTTCCAGGATGTTACAAAGAGAAAGAGCAAATCTCACATTGATGAAACTGTATCAGCTGTTCACAGTTTCACAGCAGCTCCCGGTGCTGGAATAACCTTGTGTGCATCATGCATCAAGATGGTTGTACTTCGATCCCAGTGGAAGAAGTGTCGGCGTGTGATGATCATCTCTGCAAAGCTGCAGCTATAGAAAGAGACACCCAGTAAAAGTGAAGGAGGAGGCAGCAGCGAGGCGGTGTGATCGGAGGAGAATCCGATATTCTCCCCACGCAGTCCCTTTCCTCGGCCTCCTTGATAAATAATTTGTGTTTAACGCGGCAGCAGCATTTTAACGAGGATACCTGTCACATGTACGCTCTGCTCACGACCAGGATGGGTGCTGACTGATGGGATCTCTCTCACACACACACACACACACACACACACACACACACACACACACACACAGTGTTATTCAAAGACTCCAGAGAGGTTTTAGTGCATCAAAATTTAAACACTGATGCACCTGAATGTGATGTGATCCCTCTTTGTGTAATTGTTTCTCCATATAAATACATTTCACTTGTTTGTAACCGCCTGGATTCACTTGT